AAAACAAGGCATTTTGGCTACTTCCATTCCATGAACCATACTGCCTGGCTCTGGTTTGCCAACTCCTTGATAGAAATATCCTCCCTCTATTTCTATAATCGTACATTTAACCATCACTGAATAAACATCAACCACTCATACCACGAGCCTTTCAGAAAGACGCATCAAATACAAAGTGTACAGAAAGACTGTGATCTAACATAATATTAGAGAAAAGTGGCGAGGTGATGCGTGTCTTTTCTCAGTATTTGGGAGGCTAAGGTCAGGGTATTAAGCTCAGCACCCCAGCCTGGACAACAGCAAAGCCATGTCTCAGGAAAGGAGGACAAAGCACACAGAGTGCTGGAAGGAAAAGAGAAGCAGGCGAAAGGGGAGGGTCTTCAGAAAGAACACGGAAAATCTACTAGTACCCAGTCTGGGCTACACAGTAGAATCACCCGAGCAGCTTTTTAAAATCCTAATGCTCCGAACCTGCAATGTGGCTCAGTGAGTAAAGGCGCTTGCCCGCCAAACCTAATGACCTGCGTTGTACCACGGCAACCACCAGGGCAGGAGAGGACCAACTCTTACAAGCTGTCCTCTGACCTTCCTACACACATGACCACACGCATGTGCACACAAAATAATGTTAAAAACACTAAACAAACTAAAACTTCTCATGTTCATCTTGTAGCAATGAAATACCAGAAATGAAGAGAACTACTGATTCAGTCATTCTGCAGAGACATGCCAAAAACAAACACCAAAGCCAAATCAGGAATATAAGATATAGACAGGAAACACAGCAAAGTTCTTTGGGTGTGGCAAGTAGAGTAGAAGAAAATACATTAAGAAATGTTGATTGGTCAAAGCAAAATCACCCAAGACTCTCAAAAGCAGGGTAAGATTAACCAGGAAAGCAAATAGGTACAGGGAGGATGGTAGAGTTCCATCTGAGACAGGTAAATTTTAGTTGGATTATCTGCATGGAGATGATCATGTAAAAGTAGAAAAGGGGATTTGACTTGGGTGGACTCTGAGAAATCGAAAACAGAAAATTAGGGGAAACCTTAACAGACGAGTGTCAAGAAAGGGGTAAATAGTATCAAGCTCATGCAGAAATGGTAGGGGGGAGGCATGGAAAATGGCTATGGAATTGGTTAATAGAATTTTTCTTGTGCATCTTTGAGAGAAAAGTTTAAATTCTTAGTACCTGGGGTTCAGATGTGAAGAGAAAGAAGTTAAAGCGGCTAGCCAGCTAGCTAGAGGTTTGTAGGGAAGGCTAATGGCGGGAGAGTAGCATGGTCAAGAGAGAATAATGAGCTTGGTGAACTTTACCATGAGAGGGAGAGAATGAAGAAATAAAAAAGAGGAACGGGCAGCTGGGAAAGAGCAGACAAAAGGAAGGGGACAGGAAAATATACACGCTGAAGTCCTGGTCATCCCTGCATGGGAATACTGGGAACCATGGATAAAGGATAAGGGTGAGAGAAAGAGCTTTCTGTCAATGCCAGTCCGATTCTTCCCCTTCCAGGTGGAAAACTCCAGTTCATGGTTCAAGGGTGTGAGAACATGTGTCCATCTATGAATCTCTTCTCTCATGGAACAAGAATGCAAATTATGTGCTGTCGGAATGAACCTCTCTGCAACAAGACCTAGAAGCCTATGCCCCCACTTCTTGCTCTGACTCAGGCAGCTCCACCACTCTACATGGCTCAATTTATAGTCATGTTCAACTAATTACATCTGTCTCCGCCTGATCAGACAAGAAGCTGGACCCTTATCTTTATTAAAAACCCCATTGCCTATGTCCTCTGTCTTCCTTGCTCCTTTCCTTCCCCAGATTTTCTTTTTTGCAATGAATTCCTATTGTTAAAGAACACAGGCTACAGTCAGATTGTTTTTCATCAGTCTAGTTGCAGACTTGTTTCTTTCCATGACCAAATAAGGTGAATGTTTTGCACAATCATTTATGAAAGCTGAAGAGGTCTCCTGGGTCAGATACAACAGGGAATATAAAGTACATATTAATCTTTCATGGATCATAAGCAATAATGCAGGTCTGTCCCCCACACCCTTCTACTTGTAGTACACACAACTCAGTGCTTTTGTTTTTGAGCTTTTCAGTTTTCAATGGTTCACTATTAACACAATGGAAACAAAATACTCCTTTTGATTTAAGCAATCCGTAATACTTAAATCATGTTCAGAGGATCATCCACTCAGTCACAGAGGAAGGAGCAGGTGGAATACTGAGCAGTCCTTCACCTCAAGGTGTTTTCACATGTTTCACATGGTTGCTCCTTATTCTCAGGAAAGAACCAGAGGGTACAGTGAGGAAAGACAGCATCATCCTTACTCTACAAACAAGGAAATGTGACACACATGATTGTTTATTTAGACTCCACATCATTACAAACTGATGAAGGTTACAGAACTAGGGGACTCACAGCTGGATTCCAAAACCAAATACGCATGACTTTCAAGTTGTGTCTTCACAGTAAATATCATCCAGCCAGTCCTCTCTTCCCACACACATCCATCTCCTTTTATCCACCACTTCTACATGATTGAAGGCTCAAGATCAGCTGCTGGTCTTGATGTACATTGCAAAGCAACAGACTTTAATTTCAACAAAATAATTTACCACTTTTTAAATACTAAAGCTTTTTGTGTCATGACTAACTTTTATTTATTTATTTGATATCTTACTCTGTAGTCCAGGCTAGTTTATAATTTACTGTGTAGCTCCAGGCTGGTCTCAAATCTGTAGCAATTCTCCTGGCTCAGCCTCCCATGTTCTGGGATCATAAGCATAAGCTACCATGCATAAGAACTCCTGTACATCATAAAACAGTGTCAGTTATAGAACATGTAAACACACACCTACACACACCAACACACAGACACACTCACTCATACAAACGGCCCTTTTCAAAATCCACCTGAACAACAGGTTCCACTGACAACAAATCTAGGCTGAAAGAAATTTTGAACATATAATCTTATCTTTAGATCAAATGGAATTAAAAAATTAGGGCCTGAAACTAAAATCTAGAATTCTCAATTTGCCATATGGCTTACAAGGAGGAGCAAGAAGAAAAGCAAACCCTGTTAACAGGGTTGATACAACTGGCTCCTCTGAGGGGAGGGAATAAAGATCTACTAGCTATAGGCACTGGGAAAATAAAAATGCAAGTGTGTTATTAAAAGCTAAGAGTAAGAGGTCTGGCTTTCACCTACGGGGACCTAACCTATCACAACTACACATTACATACTCAATCAAAAACAAAAAGTGAAAAAAGCTTCCAAAATTCTCCTAAAATAGAGAAGTCACTACAAACAAAAGCAGCCCTGACTGAGATATGTGGGCTTCTGCACGATTGATTAACTTTCAACCCACACCTTACAGGATGACAAAAGCCCGCAGTCAGTGGTCAGAGGCTTCAGGGAATACTGGCTAGGGCTGGCCAACCAGCTGTAATTGAGAGAATGGATCTATTGTAGTGTACGTACAGCATTTAAAGATAACACTTTTGACATTAATAAGATTACACAGGAAGGACAACGCAGCTGTAAACACAGTTGTTCTGCCACAGTCAAGTGAAACACGGCACACTGCTACCAGGTACTTGGGCCACTAAGGCAGGAGGGGAAAGAGCCAGCCTGAGACAGAGAGTTCAAAGGCCAGTCTGAGCTACAAAGGGAGACCCTGTTTCTTAAAAAAAAATAAAAAACTTAGTTGTTACTAATTTTAAATAGATGGCCAGGTGGTGGTGGCCCACGCCTTTGATTCCAGCACTCAGGATGCAGAGACAGGTGGATCTTTATGAGTTCAAGGCCAGCCTGGTGTTCAGAGCAAGTCCCAGGACAGCCAGGACTGTTATATAGAGAAACCTTGTCTCAGAAAACCAAAAGAAAAACAAGGTTTAAATAGATTGTTCTACTTTACAAGAAAAGACAGCAAGAGTCAAGATAACATAGCTACCACAGCAAACAACAGTACAGTGCCTGAAAACAGTAAAACACAATTATCACATGACCTACCAATTCTACCTCTGGGTGGACACAAAAGAATTAAAAACAGAGACTTGAGTAGATATTTATATATGTGTTCACACGAGGATCATTTAGAGTGCACAAAAGGTGGCATCAATCCAAACATATATGATCATATAAAAAAGTAAATGCACCTGTGCCCACGCACACACATGCGATTGTGGAATATAAGTCACAAAAGGAAGGAAGTATGAAATAAGCCAAACACAAAGAAACAAACACAATTTATGTGGAGTACAGGAATATTCAAATTCATGGAGACAAAAGGCAAAATGGTGGGTGTGAAGGGCTGGCAGGAAATCAGTGAGTCATGATCTGATAGAAACAGGCTCTGGAGACAGACAGTACTACATCCCATCAGATGAAAAGACAGTCCCACAGAACTGCACAGCTCAGACCAAACTTGGAATTTCAACTATGATGAAAGTTGTAACTATTGGGAGTGGGGCAGGAATCTGATTTACACTTTAGAAGGATCATTCTGACAGCTTTTCTAGAAAATAAACTACCAAGGAATAAGTAACATTCTTTTAAAAATGACTGATTTTAACCAGTGGTACTACGATGTGAAAACCAGGAGACCGACTAAACTAGGCTCAGGTTTACTTCTGAGTACAGGAGAGGTAGGAAGTATGGCAGCATACACCAACATGTAATAAACTTCAGCCATAAGATGCTAAGTGTTCTTAGCTTCAGACTAATTAACATTGTCATTTATCTACAAAAAGGAATACAAAACCCCAATCATATAATTCATATTTTAATATAAATTTTAGGAACAAAATGAGGTTTTAGTGAGTCTAAAAGGCAAGGAACAAGAATCAGGCCTATTCTTGTGTTTCCTTACACACACACACACACACACACACACACACACACACACACACACACACCACCCCCCAGCCCCTTTTAGTCAGTGTCATCTAGAAACTTGATGGTCAATAAGTTCACTAAGTTAGGAATTGATTTTAAAAATAGAATTTATTTCTAGAGTTAAAATATGACTGTGAATGTAAAAAAAGTTATTCAAGTGTTTAATTTAAAGTAAGATAAGCACTAGAGCTTGTGTTCAACTTCTTCAAAGACCAACCAGTACTTTATACTTGACTAGCTACACCAGGGGGAAAAGCTTGTCATTTTAATCATTATAACTCAACAACAGTTTTCTAGAATTGGTCAAGCCCTTGTGCAGCGCACACACCCAAAGTGAAAATACAGCACATATCCTGGGATGCACTCTTTGTAGCGGGCTCGCTTCATGGATCAATCAACTGTACATGGTCTTTGTTTATTCATCCTTACAATTAAATAGCACAAAAGAAACATGTTTTCTTAGAACGAAGCAAAATGCTCTCATTTTCTTTTCTTTTTTTTTTTTTTAACAGAAGTCATACTACATTGGTATAAAAGCTTGCAAACTCATGCATCCCAAAAGTTGGTTTCTACCGGATAGGTTTCAAATTCAGACCATTTAAACACAGCTGGAGAAATACCTAATGAATTTGATCCATCCTTTCCCCAAAGTATTACATACAATTAAGATACAGTATTATTTGTATGTAAAACATACTCAGAATTGGAAGATGTTTGGATAATAGGAAGAGAACTCTTCAAAAACTATTGTTTGCAGTTTGCAGAACAGGATAATCTTCTCTAGGAAGAATAATGTCAACATAGCAGCACTAGAATCACCAGGGATCTCCAGAGTTGACAGCTTCATCATGTAACAGGAAACCAAACCTTCTGGCTGCTCACAACATCACTCAGCTTCCCTTTAATCTTCAGGAAGTGTCTCTTGAACTCTAATCCATCGCCCTATTTTATGAATAATATTTTGAAAATATAAAAAAAAGATTGTGTCAAAAGATCATATTATCATTCCTGGTCAGTAGAAACAAACATCCTTAGATATGTCCAGTTATGGCATCCCTCGGGTCTTTTTTTTCCTCCCCCTCTGTTTTTCTGAGAAACTGGATTGCAGGTATGTAGAGCTCTAGTTAGTTTTTCATTCCACATAAATCTTTAGCATTTTGACTTATTTGAGCAGGCTATTTTAACATCTTATGGGTTCTTCATTAATAATTTATTAAATGCAACCTGAGTCCAGTCCACTTGTGAAGACCAAATATTCTGGTGGAAATGGCTACATAAATAATTCTCACCTGATCATGTTCTCTTCACTTTCTCACCACATTGAGCTGAGAAAGCAGAATAATGGCATTTTTTTGTTTTGTTTTGTTTCAAGGGTTAGTACCTTTGGACCTACACCAATTGTTTTCCATAAGCAACAAGAATTCGTGAACTAAAAACAAGCCACACTGAAGTCGGCACAGTTTTATCACAGAAAAAGTCCGCTAAACTCTGTTATGACAATAGCTTCAATAGAGAAGCTTTCATAATTTAATTATATGCCAAGAATCTAGAAAAGAATACTGCAACTAATCTCTAACATAAAGAACGTGAATTACTCTTCAACCATCTCTAGGGCCACATATCAACTCTCAGGAAACAGATATATACTGGTTTGGTTTTATACAGAGTAGGCTTTAAAACTAAAAATAATAGTTGAGTAAAATCATAATATTAATCACAAAATGAAGATCATTACATTATAATGTGAAAGCTTTTTAATGTCATAATTTGTATTAAACAGACAAATGTTATATATGAATCAAAATAATTTGAGTATTCCAAAGTACTATAAATGATAACTGTTGGGAAGTATACTTTAAAATTATTTTTAACCCGGGCGGTGGTGGCGCACGCCTTTAGTCCCAGCACTCGGGAGGCAGAGGTAGGCGGATCTCTGTGAGTTCGAGGCCAGCCTGGGCTACCAAGTGAGTTCCAGGAAAGGCACAAAGCTACACAGAGAAACCCTGTCTCGAAAAAA